CCGCTTTCTTTTCCTCTTCCTGCCGGGGGGTGGGGGGGCAGCAGGTGGCCGTAGCTGGGCCTTCCCTCCCATGGACAGTGTGAGGCTGCACCTGCTCAGCTTCTGCAGGATGCCGGGACCTGAGGGAGGCCATGGCCACCCTGGCGGGGGGAGTCCCTGAGCCCAGCGCCCACAGTCCCTTCTGCCATGGAGTGAGCACCCGGGTCCCCTTCTCCACCGAGTCGCCTTGAGGTGGAGGGACAGTTTGCCCGGAAACAGGAATCTGCCCCTGGGCCTCTGCGGCGGCCCTCACCCAGCTGATGGTGTTTGCCGCCTGGATCCCCTTCCGTGGCCGCCGTCTCCGCCACCCGCCTGGCCTGGCCCCACCCAGGCCTCTGACCGCCCCTCCCTGGGGGTTGCCACTCGTGGGTTTTCTGGTGCGACCCCAACTGGGTCCTGGGGCTCTCCGCTCCCTCCAGCAGTTTGGCTGAGAAGCTGAGGACCTGACGCATGTGGTGTCCCGGCGGCCAGGGCCGCGGTGAGCGGGTGGGAGGGGACGTTCTCTCTTGTTGGTCAACGCCCTGTTCAACTAGAGGGACGGGTGACGGGGGCCGCTCCAGGACCGCCCGCCCGCCCGCTGCCTCCTGCATCTTCCGTTTCCCTTAACCTGAGGGGGAGGTCCCTGTGCGGGTCTGGTTTCCGGAGTCGCTGTTCACTGCCCATCGCTGTCGAGTGCCCATCTCGTGGGGGTGACACTGGTGGGGGTGACATTCCCTTTCCAGAACCTTCTCTACAGGCCCGAGCCTGTGCCTGGCTGCTTCAGACCACCCGGGCTGCAGGCCCAGCACCTCTCACGTGGCGTCATCTGGTGGCAGTGGCAGTGGTCCGGCCGCTGGGTGCTGCGCGACAGCGGCTGGCGGGCGGCGAGCGCTTGGTCTGACTGGGGCTGAGCGGTTCTGACTGGGGCTGAGCATGCGGCTACGTTAACAGGAACATCCTGTCCCTGGTTTCCAGACCCGACGTGTGACCTCCCAAAAGGCCGACCCTTTCCTCGGGGAAACAAACCAGAGAAATTCCAGAACCGGCCTCGGCTGTTTAACGAGCGTCAGGGGGAGCCCGGCTCCAGGCGGAGGGGAGGCCGTGGGCACGGGTGGGGGCTGCGTGGGTGACGCCGGAGGAAGCGGCTGTGCTTGGGGCCCAGGCAGCGGACAGGCCGGGAGGTCGGCAGCTCCTGGCTCCGTGGGGCCGGGTCAGAGGCGCAGAGACAGTCAGCGTGACAACAGCAGGGCGGCCTGGGTCTCCACAGGCTGGGAAGCCCCATGACCGTGATCTGGGGAGGAAGTCTCCACCAAGCACCAGCCTGGGGAGGGGTACGCCCGGGCAGGGACCCTGCTGGGCACCCAAACCGGAAATGCCCTTGTCGCTGCCTAAGTCCCCTGCCCAGCAGCTCCCCTGGCCCCGGGCTCCCTGGACACCTCACGGCCCCGCGAGCCAGGCGTTGCCAGGAGAGGATGGTGTGTGAGCAGTGCCCTCCCTGGAGGGGCTCACCCCAGGGCACAGGACGCCTGGCTTCCCCGCTGGCTGCTGGGCGCCAGGAGGGAGGTGCTTCCCACCCGAGCGTCCATTTTATTGTCGAGCAGATGAGCTCGGTCGTGGGACGAGGCTTCGGCTGGTGGTTCTGCTGATGGTCTTAGGGGGACGAGTCCCACTCCACTGTTCGGCCAGGGCCTAAGCCCCTCCAGCTGCCTGCACCCTGCCAACGGCCCCCACTGTGGGGTCCGCCAGGAACAACCACCGTCCGCTTGCAGCACCTGGCTGCCCCGTCCTGGCCGCGGGGCTTCTTCCTGGACCACTGGTGGGGAGCAGAGCCACGGAACAGACGGGGGCAGCTTGGAAGTGGGGGTGGCCTGTGAGAACCTGGAGGGGAATGTCAGGGAGCAGTTGTCCTGCCCCGGGGCCGCCTTGGCCCAGGCCTGACGGCGGGTGAGGCGTCCTGGGTCTGGTTGCCAGGGCTGGCAGTCTGACACCGGCTCTCGACCTGCCTTTCCCCGTGAGCGTGTGCCTGTCATCATGTGTGCCCTGTCACGTGTGCTCTGTCATCACGTGTGGCCTTGGACATTCAAGCTTTTCAGGCTTCCGCTCGGCCCAGAGCCAGCTTGTCCTCGTGCTGCGAGGCCTCGACTGGGCCCCGGCTGCTCCAAAGAGCCCGCGGGGCTTTGCTGAGCGGCTGGCCCACGGAGGCAGACTGACGTCAGCAGGAGCCCAGCCCAGAGCCAGCCGCTGCCCGCTGCCCGCTGCCTGCTCCCCACTGCCCGCTGCCTGCTGCCCGTGCAGAGCACAGGCTGGAGGATCCAGAGGGCTGTTCTCTGGGCCCCGAACAGCCTGGACCGAGCCTCTGGGGCAGCTCAGAGGCTGTGGACGGTGGTCCTGGCCACCATAGCGTCCTCGCTTGGGGCACCGTCCTGCTGCCCTGTCCTCACCGAGCCCCAGGCGTCGGCCTGTGCAGGGGGGAGAGGGCGGAGGGGGGACTGCCAAGATGCAGGGTGTCTGTAAGAGGAGCACCTGGCGCCATGGGAGAGGTTCCGGCATCGGGAAAGGACACAGCGAGGCCCACGGGGAGCGGAGCCAGGCAGAGGGCGTCGGGGCCGGTGACTCGGGGCTGAGCCTGCTCTAGAGCCCAGACTCCAGGAGGAACTAGCCACAGGCTTGGGGGGCCTTCTGCCCTCACCCGACCTCTCTCTCCCCCAGGAAGGTGCAAGGACACGCTGTCCACCATCACGGGGCCCACCACCCAGAACACATACGGGCGGAACGAAGGGGCCTGGATGAAGGACCCACTGGCCAGCGACGAGCGGATCTACGTGACCGACTCCTCCTATGGCAGCACCCTGGTGGAGTTCAGGAACCTGGAGAACTTCAGACAGGGTGCGTTTGGGCCTCGCGGCTCTCCCTCCTCTGTCCTCTGCGCAATCACGCTGGCCCGGGTGTGCCGTGCATGAGACGGGGCCTTCTCCCCCCACCTCCCCCGCCCCCGGCCTCAGATCTCATGTCTGCCCTCCCTCACGCCCCTGGGACGGGGGCAGCCTGGAGTTAGGACCTCCTTTCCCGCGGCCCTGAGAGCTCGCCACCACGCTCCCCTGGGGCCGAACCTGGGCTCCTGGAGCAGCATGAGGCTAGTGGCCAGAGCCATTTCTATGGGCCAGATGAGGCTGCTGGGCCGTGAGTGTAGAAAGTGGGGGAGCAGACAGACCGGCGTGCAGACACCTGCTCGTCCCCGCACCCTGGGCACCGCATGCTGAGCCCGCCTGTTCCCCGCAGGCCGCTGGAGCAACTCGTACAAGCTGCCCTACAGCTGGGCGGGCACAGGGCACGTGGTGTTCGGGGGCGCCTTCTACTACAGCCGCGCCTTCACCCGCACCCTCATCAAATACGACCTGCGCCGCCGCTACGTGGCCGCCTGGGCCCTGCTGCCCGACGCGGTCTACGAGGAGGCCACGCCCTGGGGCCGACAGGGCCACTCGGACGTGGACTTTGCCGTGGACGAGAACGGGCTGTGGCTCATCTACCCCGCCCTGGACGAGGAGAGCTTCAGCCAGGAGGTGATCGTGCTGAGCAAGCTCAATGCCGCAGACCTGAGCACGCAGAAGGAGACCACGTGGCGCACGGGGCTCCGCCGGAACCTGTACGGCCACTGCTTCGTCATCTGCGGGGTGCTGTACGCCGTGGACAGCCACAACCAGCGCAACGCCAACATCTCCTACGCCTTCGACACCCACACCAACACGCAGATCGTGCCGCGGCTGCTGTTTGAGAACGAGTATTCTTACACCACCCAGATCGACTACAACCCCAAGGACCGGCTGCTCTATGCCTGGGACAATGGCCACCAGGTCACCTACCGCGTCATCTTCGCCTACTGACACCGCGGCCCGAGCAGATGTGCCCGGGCCACTGCACCTTGTATGTGCATGTGCACGTGTGTGTGTGCATTGCACGTTTGTGTGTGTGCACGAGTGTATGCATGTATGTGTGAATGTGTGTGCGTGTACATGTGTGCACGTGTGTGTGCAGATGGGTAAGTGCTGTTCAAAAAATATATATTATTTTGTATAATGTAAAGTGACAGTTTGGGTCTATTTTTTTATATGGATTGTAGATCAATCCATACATTATGTGCTGGCCTCATCCTCCACAGTTTATATTTTTGTGCAAATGAACTTCTCCTTGGACCAGTGACCACCTTCCTTCGAGCCTCCGCCCCTCTGGCTCCTGTGTCTCAATGGCGTGGTCTCCATGTGGGTCTTGCGGCCGAGGCACCTGCAGCGGGAGCGAGGGAGGCAGGAAAGAAGTGCTAAGGGGCAGGAAAAATTATGTGCTGGAGAAGTTTTTAAAACCCAGAAAATGCTTTTTTAAATAAAGAAGGAATTTAAAATGACCCCAGTGCATTTCTGTTCAGCGCTGATGTCTGTCCGGGGCTGGGCCCTCACGGGGAGAGGCATCCACGACGTGGGAGCCTGTTCTTCCTGTCTGTCCGCCCCCCCTCCCTGGGGGAGTTGGGGCTCACTCAGAAATGCACAGCTGAGCAGTGGGGCCTGGTCCCTGCACCCCCTAAAGCTCGCCACCCACCACTCACTGCTGGTGTCCCATAGTCCCCTCCTCACCTGACCCTCCGCCAGGCTTTCCTCCCTCTCCCCTCCGAGCAAGACGCCTGCTGCCCTCAGGCATGCCCCCTCCTCCAAGTGCACAGACCGGACAGAAAGGGACTCCTGAGGCGATGGGAGGCCAGGCATCGCGCCCCCACGGCCCCGCGGCCCCACTCTGTGCGTCCTGCACAGACCTCAGTGGCCTCCCACGACACCCCTCCACGAACAGACCTGAGAAGGATGCCAGTTTTCAAAGTTCGGTTTATATGTGACTCTGTAATGGATCCAGTTTCTCTGTTCATGCCAGTACCGGAAGCTGAGGGCCCGGCGTGGCTGCCGTGGCAGGCACAGGTTGTCCTGCTCCTGTTGTCTCTGCCTCTCTCTGGTCCTATTCCAGACTTTTCATGTCCCTTTTTCTCTGAGTGGCCGTGGGTTTTATTTGTTTGTTGCTTGTTTTCCAAGCTCTGCAGGCCACACACACATACACGCTCCCAAAAGGTTTCACAG